CATCTTGACCTAGAATTTTCTTTGTGGGAAGGTTTTAAACTACACATTTAATTTCTTTAATAGATACAGGGCTAGTCTGGCTATTTCTTATTGAATGAAATGAGGCAGTATTGTCTTTTGAGGAATTTGTCCATCTTATTTATCAAATCTGTAGACATAATGTGTTTAAAATTATCTTCTAATACTTGTAGAATCTGTTATGTTACTTTATTACAGATATACTAGTTTTTACATCATCTTTTCTGATCAGCCTGAGATGTTTACAAACAATATGGAATTTCTCAAAAAAAGATTTAGTTACATTATTTTCTTTTTGCTTTTCTATTTTGTTGATTTCTACACTGATATTTTCTTTGTCAATATGACCCTACCTTAGTTTTTTCATTAAATGTATTGAGATGATACTGGTTAATAAAATTATGTTTCAAGTGTACAATTATATATCATCAGTATACTGCAGTATGTGCCCACCACCCAAAGTCAAATCTTCCATCACCATACATTTGACTCCTTTTAGCCTTTATTACCCCCAACTCCTTCTCTCTTGTAACCACCATACTGTTGTCTGTGTTTATGAGTTTTTATTTTTATTTGTTCATTTGCTTTTAGCAATTTGTGACAACATGGATGGATGTTGAGAATATCATGCTAAGCAAAATAAGTCAGAAGTCAAGAACCATATGATTTCATTCATATGTGAGACACACTTATTTTTTCACTTCCTTCATTATGCATCCTTTTGGTTATATTTGCTCTTCTTCTTCTTTTTTTTTTAATGCAGAAGCTAAAGTTGTTGACTCAAAATCTTCTACTGTACTATATTCCAAGTACTCAATGAGGGAGATCCCACTAATCTTTTTTTTAATTATCTTATTACAATTACAATTGTCCCTGGCTGGCGTAGCTCAGTGGATTGAGCGCGGGCTGGGAACCAAAGTGTCCCAGGTTCGATTCCCAGCCAGGGTACATTCCTGGGATGCAGGCCATAACCCCTAGCAACCGCACATTGATGTCTCTCTCTCTCTCTCTCTCTCTCTCTCTCTCTCTCTCTCTCTCTCTCTCTCTCTCTCCCTCCCTCCCTCCCTCCCTAAAAATAAATATTTAAAAAAAATGCCATTTCCCCACATCTTAAAAAAAAAAAACAATTACAATTGCCTGCATTTACCCCCCCACTCCCTCCCCAGCCCCAGAGAAACCCACCTCCCTCCCTTGCTTCCACTCCACCCGCACCCCCCCTTTGTCCATGTGTCCTTTATAGTTATTCCTGAAAACCCTTCCCATTATCCCCACCCACCTCCCCTCTGGTTATTAGCAGATTGTTATTAACTTCAATGTCTCTGGTTATATTTTGCTTGCTTTTTTTCTTCTGTTGATTATGTTCCAGTTAAAGGTAAGATCATATGGTATTTGTCCCTCACAGCCTGACTTATTTCACTTAGCATAATGCTCTCCAGTTCCACCCATGCTGTCACAAAGGGTAGGGGCTCCTTCTTTCTCTCTGCTGTGTAGTATTCCATTGTGTAAATGTACTATAGTTTTTTTATCCACTCATTTACTGATGGGCACTTAGGTTGCTTCCAGTACTTGGCTATTATAAATTGTGCCGCTATAAACATTGGGTGCACAAGTTCTTTTGGATTGGTGTTTCAGGCTTCTTCGTTAGAGAGGATGTGGAGAAAAAGAACCCTAGTGCACTGTTGGTGGGAATGCAGACTGGTGCAGCCATGGTGGGAAACAGTATGGAATTTCCTCAGAAAACTAAAAATGGAGCTGCCTTTTGACCCAGCAATTCCACTGCTGAGATCCCACTAATCTTGAAATGGGTATATTTTGTTTTCATTCAGCTCAAAATACTTCTTAATTGTTTGGCTCTATTTCAGCTCATGAGTTATTTATAAGCATTTTACTTGGTTTTCAGGTTTCTGAAGAAATTTTGGAGATCTTTCTGTTATTGGCTTCTAATTTAACCCCACTGAAATATAACAAATCTGATTAAATTTGAGAAAAGTATCCCTTCCACTGTGATAACCAGCACATACATTGATACTGTTGTTCCAAGTAGATTATAAACTCAACATGGACAAGGCATACTCCCAATACCTGGTATAATGTCTGCTATGTATATAAGTACTTATTATTTTAAATATTCAAAGGTCCCACATTTCAAATACCATTACATTGGGCACTAGGGCTTCAAAATATGGATATTGGGGAAATACAAACATTCAGTCTATAGGAAAGGGGATGAAAAAAGAATTCACATACAAATCATTCCTACTTACAATTTTCTTTTTAAATAGCAGACCTGGAAGTCCCTATAATGGGGCTAAAATTAAGGCCCAAGAGTTTGAAACATTTCAAAACCAGAGACTACGTCTATTACTTTGACTAATGGCAAGAATTTCAAAGGGACTGATCAGATGAACAATCTCCTGTATTTCACCAAGTTGGACATGGCTGTACAAATATTTTGTCACCTAGTGGGTAGGAGAGCCATATTTCTCTGTACTTATCCAACCCAACCCTCTATGACTGGGGATAGCCCAGAGGAAGCCCTGACCATTCCACTTTGCTACCATTACAATCAGTGACTTCAAGAAGAAAGGCTGATTTTTACATTAATGGTAAATGCGGGCAATGTGAGGTTGTTGTTCAATTAAGGGGAGCCAATAAGTGGATGTCATAGAAGCAAATAATCTAAGATAGCATTGGTGCCTTAAGAGAGACTTGGAACAAGTGAAAAATATACTCTTAGTTTAGACTCAGAAGCCTCTTAGGACAAAAGACTGTGAAAATTTCCTCCACTTTCAATTAAATGAAGAATGAGCAATACAATGGCCAATCTAATAAACATACTTTCAAGATTGATCTATGTCCTCCTTCCTAACCAAAAAACAGATCAGAGCTCAGATGATAACTATGTGGAAGAATATCAATGTGGCTTCCTTTTGAGCCTCATTTCATAAAACATTATGTCTATGGAACAGAATATGTTTAAAGAAGATTTAGACTTAAATGACAGGTTTATTAGAATTCTTAACTATTCAGATGTATACCATAAAGTTCAGATAACTAGAGATCAGGGAGGCCCTGCAGAAAGGAAAATGTAAAAATACAAAACATGAGACAATTTGTGCCAGCATTATAAGATAGTTTAAATTATATAAGCCCTCACAGGTTACTACAGCTCTCTGCAATGTATATGTGTATTTTGATCGTCTATTAGATTACATGTTGTTGAAAGGCAAATGACTGCTGTCAAAAAAGAGTGGTGGGTGGTTTTTTTGTAAAAAGGCTTTAACCAAAATTCAAGGGGATTAAGTCCAGCATTCCTGGAACAGGCCTGAGCTAAAGTATCTGTACATCACCATTCATTAGTCAAGGAATGAAACACTAGTGTTTCTTTGTAACCATGGATAGAAGAAATTCTGGGACAGGTTTTAACACCTTATCAGCAGTGTTTTTTAACAGTGCAATTGATAACTTACACCCATTCTCATTATGACCGTCAGAGTCCTCTGCTGTTGTGGCTGGTTACCTAACAAGAATATGCCTTCAGTATTATATATGCCTTTTATATTCCAGCACAATAGAAGAAACCTCAGCAGTAAACCAATCTGTGGCTTTTGGGGAGTCCTGTGCACATGTTTGGTTCTTACCTCACAGTAAAATCAGGTCTGTACAATGGAAGAAAATGGGAGCTTGTGAGTGGCCGTTACCTAAATCCTTTGCTGTGTGGCAGCCTTTGGCTAGGATGCAATGCACCCTTCTTTCTTAATAAATTGTAAATTTGTAAGTGTTGCTATTTTGGGACTTGAGTCTTCTTTAGCAACTTAACTCCACTTAACCGTCACTGATAGTGCACCACATTTCTTGGAATTTGGCAGTTCTATAGTTTTGGCCTTGTGGCCACTTCTCAATGTATAACCTTTTTCTCTCTCATGAGTATCTATCCACAAGGCATGTATAATCTAGTTCTTTTTTTGTGTTGTTTATTCAGTGGTCTCTTTGGTTCCTTCCCTTATTTCCTATGCTTTCTCAATGTGCATGTTGGTTTCTATTTCACTTGGATTCAGTGCACTCTGGCCACCAACAATCTCTTTTGGTTCCCTGAGCAGTCTAACAATGAAATCTTACTCCTGTTTATTACAATAGGGACATAATTACATTCTTCTATCAGAGGTGCATACCTGTTTTGAGAGCATGTTATCAATAGAACTGTTTTCCACATGTATTCCAATCAATACAGTTCTCTCTGAGATGTTGCTTTTACAGGAGTTCATATTATATTTTCACCCACACATATCTGATGGTATGCATTGTATGTGTGCAATAACATATGCCCATGTGTTCTTGCTTCATTAGTAATGTTTGCTGCTCTATAATCCTTCCCTAGTTTATATATTAAGCTGTTATCTGGGAATGACCACCTGCTCCTAATCTTTTATATATCTATTTCATTATGTCTTCTGCTCATGGCCTATAGGCCCAAACTTAACTTTCTAATAATAACGCACCCATTCCTTTTAAAATCTTCATTCTAGTACCATACAATTTATGAATGCTTTAAAAAAAAGACCCTATGCAGGCATTTGGTTTTTGATACCCCATCTTACTTTCTAGCCTGATTTATTTGTCCTATCATCACAGATTTCTTAGTTATCATGGCTGGTCATTCTTTGTACCTACTGTTGTTTTCTGGGTTAATGCAATAGCCTCTGGGTTATAAAATGCAAACTTTCAGTCCTTTTCCAAGGATTAAGAGGCATAGAAGACATCGGTGCCACTTCTATGATGAGATATAAGGATAAATAAAATCCTGAAGTTAAATCCTGGAGAACAAAGAAAAGGGCAATAATTCATTCATATCCCAATAAACACTAAAAACCAAAATGTGGGAGAATAAACTGGATCAGCTTGAGGCTATTTTTAAATTCTGAATGTTTTAGGTTTTGAACCTACTTATATTGTTTCCAACATGAAAATCAGAAACACATAAAAGGATTTTGAACTTATTTTATTTACAATTTGATAAACTAATAATTTATTACAGTAGCAAGCATGGGCTTACATACATGCTTTTAAATTGGGTGACCCTACCTCAACCAGATGATCAAGCTTAGCATTGTTAGTGATCTTCAGGCCAACAGCATTTGCTATTAATATAATGAGAATGGTATTTTTTTTACCTCTGTAATCTTCCTGTAAAATAAACAAATCTGTAACACCAGAGTAAACATAAAAAGATATCAGATACCAAAATTGAGATAGTCTGCAAAATACTTGACAAGTACTTCTCAAAACTGTCAAGTTAATCAAAAACATGTAAGGTATGGGAAATTGTTACACACCAGTAGAAGCTAAGGAGGCATGAAAATTAAATGTAATGTTGTATCCTGGATGAAATTTTGGAATAAACAACACTAGAGAAAAACTAGTGAAATCTGAAAAATAATGTTTTGTTAATAATGCATCAATGTTATTTATTTATCATAGGGAACCAGTCCACCTGGCAACAGCAAAATGTAGCTCAGCCTTATTGGAAAACTGACAGGCACGAGTCATAACACAGGAGCCAAACTCACAGACTGGCTTTCTCATAGGAAATCAGGCCTGCATTACTCCTAGACTGCTTTGAGGCTTGCTCTTGCTAAAACTCCCTCACCCTGAGTTGAAGCAGCAAATGTTTACTGCGTATCTTTAAAGTAACTTCCTGAAGTCTGTGCTAATTCTCCCAAGGATGGAGTATAACCAGACCAATCACTTATCATTCCCTTGCATTTGCAACATTTTTTCCTTGCTAATCTGTAAGAAATAATCAGTAGCATCCTTTCTTGTGTTATCTGTAAAAAGTAATCACCTAAAGCAAACCTGAGCATAATGAATGAAAATTTTCTTTGATGTATGCTATTAGAAAGCAATAAAAGCCCGTCCAGGCAAGGGTTAAGGAGCCCTCTCGTGGAGAGTAGCCATGCTGTCCCTTTTTCTCCACAGGACTTCTGTAGTCTGTGTGAATTTGTTCATTGCATCCACAACATACAGACCCGGCTGGACGGAGTCTGCATCAATTTATGACAAATTTACCAAAGTAACAAAAGATACTAACAAGGGGAACTGTGTGAGGAATATATAAGAATTATTGTTTTAGATTTTCTTAAATCTACAACTATTTTAGACTGAAGTTAACTTTTAAAAAATATAAAGTTCTCCAGGTTAAGTAATTTCCATTAGTTTTCTACAAATCAATAGTTATTTTAAAAATCAAGCACATAGAAAAGAGATGTCTTTTGACTCATTTCCCTTTTGGCACCATGCAGTTAAGTTCACACTGCATCTAAGTGTGGGACTGGGGGACTTTTAGCTTTTGCAACTCTCCTGCCAACAGGAGTACTGATTAAGTCTCTGGTGTGATAGCCCTAGTAGTACTATGATATAACCTCATGTAATGGTGACCTTTTACTCCTGGCCCTTTTCTGTGGCAGTAACGCTGCTAAGGTAAGCAATAAGCCAGTGTCAAAGAAATATCTGTTCTCCAATCAATGCTGAAAACATACCATTATTTTCCTTTACACAGTACCAATATAAGATAGGGAACAGAGGATTTACTCAGGTAATCAACTAATTTATTGTCCACATGCTCAGTCTACCAGATTGCACTTTCAGAAAGCAACATGCCCACAGTTGAAATTTTTAATGTTCCAAGTTTTAAAAATAAGAATCTCACTTACTTCCTTCTCTGTGCTGACCAAATCATGTAGCCTGAAATTAAGGCAGATTTTCCAAATATTCTCTTGGCTAAGACTACACTATACTGCTTCCCCAAGAGAATTTTTCTTTTTCTAATAGCAATGTGGTGCTCCTGATAGGAAAGTAGCCCTGATTTCATTCCAACTCTAAAGCCTGCTTTCCAAGCAGGATAGAAATTAACTAGTTTGCAATGTTGCAGTATTGTGGGGTTGGGAAAAGATCCTATATATGATGCTCAGGGTACATACATACAAGAGAGCTAAGATTTGATTTATAATTAGTACAAAGTGAACCACTAAAATGGCATAAAATGAAGTCCAAAAGAAAATATAAGCATCAACATTCACCACACATACACAAAGAATCCTTGAGAAATCTTATGGTCCTAGAAAAACAGGGCCAGACCAATATTCAGACATAGAAGATAGGCCAAAATTTAACATCATCAAGCTGAGAGAAGCCAACAGAAGCAGCATGTTGATGGTCACTTGAAAAAGAAAAGTGAACAGGTCACAGCAGGTTTGGCGACTGCCTTCTACTGTTACATAGACTCACATATGTACCACATAGCTTAGAAATTAGACACAAACATTTATTGGTGTTGTCTGCAGAATTCAAGTTATTCTTCTATCTTTAAAATTTCTACAATGAATTTGTGCATAGATACACTCATATATGTTCTATAAAACTTATAAACAAGTTTTAGTACATCAGTTCCAGTTGAAGATTTTACCTACAATTCTGAAACTGACATATTTCCTTAGAAAATAATTATCTGACACAAATTCAATGTGTTAAAATGTCATTCATCAAAATACATTTTAGTCTAATATTATTTGATGTTTGATGAAGTTCACTTGGAAGTAAAGGTTTTTGTGGTTTTCCCTGAGATTTCTCTCTTTTAAGGTCATTTGCTCATTTAGGACATTGACAGAAGTTGCCTTCATCATGTGAATGATATCTCTGATGTACTGTTTCAATTCTGAGAGGTTCTTCTGATATTTATTATATTTATATGGTTGGTGAACCCAGGAAGGGCAAAAGGACAACTAGGCTCAAATAAAGAAATAAAGTAAAAATAAATAGCAGTCTAGCAGCCATTTCTGCCCAGTGGTCTCTCACACAAACTACACTGCATGAAGCTTCTGCATTGAACTGCCTGCCTGCACTGTGTTTCTGCCATCTGAACAAACCCTTGCAAAGGTTTCCTGGAATTCTATTTCAACCAATAGGACTGAGGCTTTCTCTAACCAATCAGAGCAGCTCTATTCTGACCAATAGGACAGTGCCTTTGCACCAAACTGTATCTGGACTCCTCATTTGCATAAGGACCAATGAGGGACCAGGGGCAGGGTCCTGTGTCCATATAAGCCAGCTCCCCTCTGGCTTAGAGAGGGCACTTTCCACCAAAGAATGAAGATTGCATTTCCTGGCTAAAGCTGAAACATCAAAGATGTCTCCCTGGAGCAAAGTGGAGCAGGCTGGCATGGAGTGAAGCAAAGCAGAGCAGACCAGCAGACCATCCTGGAGCAGACTGGAGCTGCCTAGCCAAAGAGGGGCCTGGCCTCATGGCAGCCTCACAGCGAGGCTATTTTCACAGCTGTGCTGCAGCACAACTGAGCTGTTCCACAGCAGTGTTGTCTTTACAGCCCCACTGAATCATCACTTGCACTGAATAAAGTTTCCTTCTTCACCACACCCCAAATTGAGGATTGCTGCTGGCACTAAATTAACACCAACAACCCTGGGTTGACAGGTTTCACCCCACTCTAATAGAGTTTGCTAAACTGTATGATTTAACCAGTAGACCAAAATCTGTAAAAAGTCAACACAGTACAAATTTAATTCCTGTTTAAAAAAAAACAACTGGGCAAGACCTGTTAGTGGAGAATTGTTTCACTATTATTCAGATTCTAACTTCTTTCACCTTGTGCTCTATGTTCAATACATAGCACCCGAGTCTGCCATGGAAATTTCTCCACTCCAGTATAACAAAGAATAGGAAGAATGTAAGGTGACTCTTTAAAGCCAAACTTAGCTGAAATGTAATAGTGTCATATCATGACTAGCCCCACCCAGATGAAGGACAAAAAAATAATTTAGACAAGCTCATGCCTACTAGAAAAGGAAACAAGTTGTTTAAAAAAAAAGAAAAAATTTGCAGTCTATGTGACATGAACTTATCCACTGTGTTACCTAATAAGGTATGGGGTTCTTTAGGACTTCCCAAATTCATGGCATGAAAGAGTTTCATCGCTGGTGTGCATTCTGTTGTGATGTACTTGAAGGGCTGCCTTACGGACAAAAGTTTTCCCACATTCATCACATTCATATGGTTTCTCCCCTGTGTGAATTCTCTGGTGTACTCTGAGAGTTGAATTTTGGGCAAAAGCTTTCCCACATTCATTACACTCATAAGGTCTCTCCCCTGTGTGAATTCTCTGGTGTGCAATAAGGTGTGACTTCTGGAAGAAAGTTTTCTCACATTCTTTACACTCATAGGATTTCACACCTGAATGAATTCTCTGATGTACTCTGAGGGTCGAATTATGGGCAAAAAGTTTTCCACATACATTGCATTCATAGGGTTTCTCCCCTGTATGAATTCTCTGATGTGCACTAACATATGATTTCTGGGAGAAAGTTTTTCCACATTCATAACATTCATAAGGTTTCTCCCCTGCACGAGTCCTCAGATGTGCTCTGAGGTGTGAGGTCTTGGAGAAAGTTTTCCCACATTCATTACATTCATAAGGCTTCTCCCCTGTGTGAATTCTCTGATGTGCCCTGAAGGCTGAATTATCTGAAAAAGTCTTCCCACATTCATTACATTCATAAGGTTTCTCACCTGTGTGAATTCTCTGATGTGCACTGAGGTGTGTCTTCTGGGAAAAAGTTTTCCCACATTCATTACATTCATAGGGTTTCTCTCCTGTGTGAATTCTTTGATGGACTATGAGGGCTGCTTTATAAACAAAGGTTTTCCCACATTCTTTACATTCATAAGGTTTTTCCCCTTTGTGAATTCTCTCATGCCCACTGAGGTATGACTTCTGGGAAAAAGTTTTCCCACATTCATTACATTCATAAGGTTTCTCACCTGTGTGAATTCTCTGGTGTGTACTGAGGTGTGTCTTCTGGGAAAAAGTTTTCCCACATTCATTACATTCATAGGGTTTCTCTCCTGTGTGAATTCTTTCATGGGCTATGAGGGCTGCTTTATAAACAAAGGTTTTCCCACATTCCTTACATTCATAAAGTTTTTCCCCTTTGTGAACTCTCTTGTGTCCACTGTAGTACGATTTCTTGGAGAAGGTTTTCCCACATTCATTACACCCACAGAGTTTCTCACCTGTATGAATTCGCTGATGTGTACTGAGATGTGTCTTCTGAGAAAAAGTTTTCCCACATTCATTACATTCATACAGTTTCTCCCCAGTGTGAATTCTCTGATGTACTCTAAGGGCTGAATTATGGGTGAAAGTTTTTTCACAGCCATTACATTCATAGGGCTTCTTTCCTGTGTGAATCCTTTGATGTGCTCTGAGGGCTGAATTATGGGAAAAAGATCTCCCACAATCATTACATTCATAAGGTTTCTCTCCTGTGTGAATTCTCTGATGTGATCTGAGACCAGATACATGGGCAAAAGACCTTCCACATTCATTACACTCATAGGGTTTCTCCCCTGTGTGGATTCTCTGATGTGTCCTGAGGGTTGAATTATCAGCAAAAGTTTTCCCACATTCATTACACTCATCCGGTTTCTCCCCTGTATGAATTCTCTGAAGTGCACCGAAGTGTGTCTTATTAGAGAAATTTTTCCCACATGTAATACATTTGTAGTTTTTTTTGCCTGTAGGAATTCTCTGATGTGCTCTGATATGTGGTGTCTTGGAGAAAGTTTTTCCACACTCAGTGCATTCATTTGGTTTATCCTCTGTGTGACTTCTCTGATATTCTTTGTGTTGTGCTATCCTGGAGAATGAGTTCTCATATTTATTACTTTGATAGACTTTAATCTGTGCATGTGTTCCTTGGTGTACTAAGAGCACAGACTTCTTGTAAGATTCCCCAAATCCACTGTTCTCATAAAATTTTTCCTTTTGGTGAACTGTCAGATGTTCACTGAGGTTTGACATCTGACAGGAAGTTTTCCCACATTCATTACATTCATAGAGACTCACCCCCATATGAGTTCCAGGATAATGAATAATGTGTGAATTTGAACAAAAGGATTTCCTACATTCCTCACATTCATAGGTTTTCTCCTCTGAGTGGGTCTGCTGATGGTAAATGAGATGTGCTTTCTGGTAAAATAATTTACTGCATTCATTACTTTCAAATGACTTCTTTCCTGTGTCACTTCCCTGATGTACACTGAAGAGTGAGTTTTGATGTAAAGATTTCCCATGTTTACAACATTGGTAGAATTTCTCTTCAGTCTGAGTTCTCTGATGTATTACTGTAAGGTCTAAGTTCTGGTAGGAGAAACTTGTACATCCACTAAAAACACAGGGTTTATCACCAGTTTGTATCTTCTGATATATTAGATGGGCTGAGCTTTGGCTCAAGTTTTCTTCACATGTATTGCTTTCAAAAGAACCCTGTCCTATAACAGTTCCCTGAGGCTGAACGAGGGGTGAAATCCTGTTGAAGTTATTTCCACTTTCATTAAATTCACTGTGTGTCAGGGCCATGTGAACTTTATTGTATTCCACAATGGTGGTTTTGCCACATTCATTAAGATCAAAGCATTTCTCCCTTGTGCCAGTTCTTATGTGGTTAAATAGAGTTGCCTTATCACAGTTTTTCCCAAATTCATCATCCTTACAGGACTCCTGTCCTGTTAGAGAACTCTTGGCAATAACACAGAGAGCAATGTTATCATGTAAAACTTTTCCAAATTCATTACATTCAAAAGGTTGCTCCAGAGTTTGCAATTTCTGCTGACCTTTCTTATGACTAAGAGATTTCACATTTTTGTTATATTTGTAAGACCTCTCTCCAGTATGGGTTTTCTCATGTTTAACATCCAGCTGTAACTTTTCACATACATTTATATTATCAGTCTTCTTTCTTGAATAGTTCCTATCACTTATAATTAAGTCAGAAACAAGTGGCAAATTCATTCTACATGAGTCACATTTATAGGGCATTTCTCCTGAAAAATCTGGAGTTATATCCAGATTAATTGGTTTTCCTAAAATTTTCTGTCCTTCTTCACTGAATATTTTGTTATCAGTGAATATTACTTGCCATAGAGGTTTCTCTTGTTTTTCCTGGTTCTCTTCTATGTTAAGATCAACTTTGCAATATCCTAAAATGAGAAAAATTGAAAACACCTTATGACTCTTACATTTCTTATTGAGAGGAGTTCAATATTATGCATTGTATTGTTTCTGGTCATATTTCCAAAGATTAATAACTCATGCACACAGTCAGAAAGACAGACACACACTCTCTCTCTGCTCATCCAAGTTGTTTGAAAAAAAAAAAACAGGTATTATTTCCAGTGCTAACCAAGATGGAGCAGCCCCATTCTTCCAGGTACTCCCCCGCTGGCAATTAAAAGTCCCTGGGAAAAAAATAACAAAGATGCTACAAAAATAAGAAGAAGCTAGGCTTTGACCCTTAAAAATTGTTATGGCAGATAATTCCCAGATTTTCTTTCTGCTTCCATATATCTTATATGAGTTGTTGGATTGCTGAAGACGCCTGCAGTTGAAAGCAAATAATAGGCAAAGACAAAAGAGTGCCAAGAACAACCTGTACCTAAGAGCTGAGGAAAAGGTGATCTAACAGACAAGCTTTCGGACAATACCCATCATATTCAAGTCTCCCCCACCTCCCTAAGAAAAGAAGGAAAAAAAACACTTCCTTATAGTCCAACTGCAGATATAAAGCATTTATTTGTACATTTTCCTCCATAAGCCAAACCAAGAGTTCATAGGAAAGACCAGACAGTATTTTGAGAAATTTCCATTCATAAGATATTCTGGGATACGGAAGCAGCAGCCGCGCCAAAATTCTACCTAGAACCATATTCCTATCCATTCTATAAAATCTAGGTGGACAAGAGCAACAAATGTGTTGGCTCAAGGTATTGGTGGCCAACTCATAACAAGTAGGAAGAAAAAATGGAAAACAAGAAGCACAGAAAAAAAGGAGCAGGGGACAGGAATATACTGTAGCCCAATATTACAGCTAGGAGAGATGAAGCAGCACTACTTCAAAAGCATACTGTAAAAGATGAAGCATGCTTTTTGAGGGTAAAAAGCATACCCTCAAAACCCATTCACAAAAAACTAAAAAGCAGCTTAATTCACCTTATTCTCAAATGTACACAAGCACTCATTGAGACAGACTACATTATGGGCTATAAGACAAATCTTTATAAATATAAAAGAAGTCATATAAAGTATGATCTCAAGCCAAAGAAAAATTGTACTAGAAATTAGTAATACAATATTATTTTGAAAAATATATTTGTAAATTAATATGTTTATAATTAGACCATGGATCAAAGAGAATTTCTCACAGAAAATTAAGGTATTTTGAAGTGAATGAAAATGAAAACTGTTCAAAACATAGAAACTTGCGGAATATAGTTATAGTAGTACTAAGAGATAAGTTCATAGCTTAAAATATTTATATTAGCAAAAGAATTTTAAAAACCCACCAATCAGTTACCTAAGCTTCCACTTTAAGAAACTATACAAAGAGAAGGTAAATCCAAAGAAACAAGAATAAAATACTAAAAGTTAGAGAATACAATGAAATTGAAAATAACAGAAAAATCAATCAAACCAAAGCTTAATTCTTTGAAAAGATTTTTAATGATAAAAACCAACTGAGGAAAACAAGACACATTATTGATATCAAAAATAAATGCAAGAAAAGATATAACTACAGATACAGCAGACATTAGAGATAATACAAAAGTACTGAAATTCTATGCCCATAAATTTGACAATTTATATAAAATGAACCGAATTTTTCCTTTTAAAAAAGGATTTTATTTATTTACTTTTAGAGAGAGGGGAAGGGACGGAGAAAGAAAGGGAGAGAAACAGCAGTGTGTGAGATACACGAATCTGTTGCCTCTCGCACACACCCAACCAGGAACCTGGCACACATCCCAGGCATTTGCCCTAACCAGAAATTAAACTGTGACCTTTCTGTTCATAGGCCAGCACTCAATCCACTGAGCCACACCAGCCAGGGCAAAATGGACCAATTTCTTGAAAACAAAAAACTCCCAAATTCACCATGAAGAAATAAAAAACCTAAATAAATCTATTTAAGAACTCTAATACATGGTAAAAAAAATATGTAGCTCCAAAAAACAGCTCCAGGAACAGATGGTGTTAACTAGTGAGTTCTACCAAATATTTAAAGAAATAATACCAAGTTTACATAATTTCTTCAAGAAAATACAAGACATGGAAATACTTCCACATCATTTTATGAGGTCTGTGTCATCCTCATAGCAAAACAAAGACAATTCAAGAAAAGAAACCTACAAGCCAATATTCCTCATGGCATAAATGTAAAAATACTGAAAAATAGTAGCTAAAGGAACACAGCAATATATGAAAATAATAAATCAAGATCAAGTGGGATTTTTCCCAAGAACACAAACTGTTGCAATATTCAAAAATCATATTGTCTAAATAATTAATATCACACAACCACATCAAATACGGTAAAATATTTCACTAAATTGAAAATCCACTCATTAACCTAATATAAAAGGAATCTATAAAAAAGTGTACAGCTAACATTATACTTAATAAAGACTGAATGCTTTCATCCTAAGATTGGGGGGGGGAGGTGTTTACTCTCAAAAGTAAACAGCTTTTGGAGTAGAAAAAGGTCTTGGCTTCTACTCAAGAATGTAATGGAAGTTCCAATCAATGCATGAGGCTAGAATAAAAATAAAAGATACAGAGTAAGTCTATGCAGAAAATTCACAAGAAGATCTTTAAAAAAAAACTCCTTGAACTAATAGGTGTTTTCAGCAAAGGCAAAATACAAAGCCAATATGCAGGAGCCGGTAATATACAAATAATAATTAAGTGGAATTTGAAATCAGATACACAATGTAATTTACCACTGTACTAACACACACACACACACACACACACACACAAACTGATATCTGTAGGCTGAAAAGTAATGAAATAAATCCTAAATAAAGAGGTAAATGTTATTTATAGATTAAAATACTCTGTATTATATGCATGTCAATTCTTTTTAATTTGACCTATAGATTTAATGCAATCCAATCTGAAATGCCAGCATGCTTTTTTAAAAATATCAAGCAGCAGACTTCTGGCCAAGATGGAGGCATAGGTAGACACACTGCCTCCTTGCACATTCAAAAGAAGAACAACAACAAATTTAAAAACAAAAACAACCACAACTTCCAGAAAATCGAAGTGAATGGAAGTCCGACAACCAAGTAGTTGAAGAAGAAACATTCATGCAGACCAGGAAGAGGGGCAGAGAGAGGCAGCTGGGTGGAGGGGACTTGCAGCAAGGCAGCGGCTGGAGGACTGGACTGGGCAAAGCAGCTGGTGAACCGGATAAGGCAGCAGCTGGCAGAATGGGTGGTCCCACATTTGTGTGCAGATAAACCAGAAGGAACAACTAAGGAGCGAGACAGACCATGCAACCTAGGATTCCAGTGCAGGGAAATAAAGCCTCAAAACCTCTGACTGGAAAAACACGTGAGGGTTGAGGTGGCAGGAGAAACTCCCAGCCTCACAGGAGAGTTCGTTGGAGAGACCCACAGGTCTTACAACATAGACACAACCACCCACCTGGGAATCAGCACCAGAAGGGCCCAATTTGCTTGCAGGTAGCAGCGGAAGTGACCAAAAGCCAACAGAGAGCTGACCAAGTGGCGCTGTTCCCTCTCTGACCCCTCCCTCACATACGGTGCCACAACGAAGTGACGAGGTTGCCCTGTCCTGGTGAACACCTAAGGCTCCACCCCTCACTACATAATAGACATGTGGAGACAAAAAATGAAAGACCAGATCAAAGTTCCATAAAAAATATAACTAAGTGACAAAGAGATAGCCAACCTATCAGATGCACAGTTCAAAACACTGGTAATCAGCATGCTCACAGAATTGGTTGAGTATGGTCAAAAAATACAGGAAAAAGTGAAGGCTATGAAAAATGAAATAAAGGAAAATGCACAGGGAACCAACAGTGACAGGAAGGAAACCGGGACTCAGATCAATGATTTGGACCAGAAGGAGGAAATAAACAGTCAACCAGAACAGAATGAAGAAACAAGAATTCCAAAAAATGAGGAAAGGCTTAGAAACCTATGGGACAACTTTAAACATTTCGATATCTGTATCATGGAGGTGCCAGATTGAGAAGAGGAAGAGCAAGAAATTGAAAACTTACTTGAAAACATAATGAAGAAGAACTTCCCCAATCTGGCAATAGACTTCCAGGAAGTCCAGGAAGCTCAGACAGTCCCAAAGAAGTTGCACCCAAGGAAGCACACACCAAGGCACATAGTAATTACATTACCCAAGATTAACGATAAGGAGAGAACCTTAAAAGCAGCAAGAGAAAAGGAGACAGTTACCTACAAAGGAGTTCCCATTAGACTATCAGCTGATTCCTCAAAAGAAACCTTACAGGCCAAGAAGGGACTGGAAAGAAGTATTCAGAGTCATGAAAGGCAAGAACCTACATCCAAGATGACTCTATCCAGCAAAGCTAGCATTTAGAATGGTAAGATAAAGTGCTTCCCAGATAAGGTCAAGTTAAAGGAGTTCATCATCACCAAGCCTTATCATATGAACATTAAAGGGACTTATCTAAGAAAAAGAAGACCAAAAGTATAAAAGGTAAAATGGCAACAAACTCACAACTATCAACAACCAAACCTTAAAAAAAATTAAGCAAACAACTAGTTGTTCCTACAGAATCATAGAAATGGAGATCACATGGAGGGTTTTCAGCAGAGGAGATGGAGGAGGAGAAAGGGGTAAAAGGTACAGGGAATAAGTAGCATAAATGGTAAGTAGCAAAAAAATGGGAGGTTAGAATAGTATAGGAAATGTAGAAGCCAAAGAACTTATATATACAACCCATGGACATGAACTAAGTTTGGGGGATGGGGTGGAATGCAGGTGGGGGTGGGTGTTCAGGGTGGAGGGGAATAAAGGGGGGAAAATGGGACAACTGTAATAGCATAATCAATGAAATACATTAAAAAATATCAAGAAGCTCATTTTAACATTCATATAGTAAAAAGTTGATGAACCCACAATACCTAATTTGAAGAATAAGCTACTATAATAAAATTAGTAGATAAATAAAAGATAAAGATGTCAAAGAAATATATGATCTTAGACATATACACTCATTTGTTTTCTGAGATTATACAAATACTATTCAACAGAGAAATAATAATCTTTTCAACATATGGTGCTAAAATAACCAAACATCTTTTCCAAAAACTTGAACTTGATATATACCTCACACTTTCTATAAAAATCAACACCAAATGGATCACAAAGTGCAAAACGTGAAATTTTAAAATTTCTAGAAAAAACAAAATCACAGGAATAAATCTGTATTACTTTGAGTTCCAATGTTTCTAGACAGGACAACAAAAGCATGGTCCTTAAAAAATAAAATAAAAAATAAAAATAAAATAAAATAAAAATAAATGTTTACTTAAAAATAAAACAAAATAACCAACCTAACACCTAAAAAAAAGAAAATTATGAAAGTTAATGTTTAGCCAGTTTTTTCTGAAACCATGCCAATAGAAGAAGTGGGGTGCAGCTTCACTACTGCCAAGTAGGAAAAGAAGTCCAGGTACCTCACTAAACCTCTGTTGACATCTCTGGGAGTTGAAAGAGAAAGTTGCCACATTAATACTGGCCAGGAGTAAGAGATCAGGCTCCCACCAGCCTTCTGTAATACTAACCACCATGCATTTCATCAGGTGCCAATGTACCTAGTTCATCTTCATTCTTCTTTCCATCTGTACTTAGTGAGTAAGAAGGAAGGAACATTTTTACTACATCATTCCTCTGGTTAATGTTTTTTATATCTTATTAACTCCTTCTCTAAGCACAGTCATGAACATATTTTTTTAATCATCATTTAGAGTATTTCTACTTTTGCTTTGAAAATCAGATTTAAGCCACCTAAATCCTATTTTTTGTTTTGATCCATAGGTGACTTCAGGATTCTTTCCCCACTGCTCTGTGGGGATAGTGCCATCTACCAAAAACCAGTTGTCTATAAAGCATGTTTTTTCTTGAGCTCTCTTTCACTAATTTATCAAACTATCTCAAAGCCCTCCCCAAACCCCTCCCATTGCATATTACTTAACTACTCGGAGCTTTACATATATCCTTGATATCCGGTAGAGCAAGTCCTCCCACATCACTCTTTATGAATGGGATTTTTGGTTTGATATTAAATATGAAAAATTTCCACTTGAACTTTTACATAAAATTTCACTATCTTTTCCTTTGTCTTTGTTAGGGTTAGCGAAAGTTTCATCCACTTTAATGTTTTACTTCTCAGTTTTCCAGTCTGTTACTACTTTTATTAGTACATTCTTATTATTGTTCTTAGGTAATTAATTAATATAATATTTACCTCTGTTCACTAACTTACCTGTATCCTAATGTTTCTAATATGTGCATTTATCTTTAGTATTTTATAAGTGTCATGCAATTTTGGATTTCATTTCTTTTTATACATTACTTAAAAGAGACACTTTAAAATTTCCATATCAATGTTTTTGTTTACTCATTTTACCATTAAGTTCTACATTTATCAAATAAACTATGTTGAGAGAATATTATTTGTGATGATTCTACCTTGGTGAATTTATTGGTGCTTTCTTTTTAGACTAAAACTATATTTATACTACCTATGATTATTTGATGGGAACCTGAAAGGCTTGTCCTTTGATTTCAGCATACATATACACAAACATATGGTTCACTTTAATACATACATCATTTATATCCAATACAGGCATAGTTATTTAGTGTCCACAGTGTTTATTATTTTATTAGATAAGGTACAGAAGGTCCTCAAATAACTTCCTTTCATTAAATGTCATTTCATTATAACACTGATGAGAAAAAAGAGTGATTCTGGGCCAGGGCCACTATCTGTGTGCTGTTGGTATGTTCTCCTTTGTCTGTGTGGTTTTCTCAGGGTATTCTGGTTTTCTTTCACATCCTAAGATGTGCATATTAGGTGAACTGAAGTATCTATACTGCCCCCAATTTGTGTGGTGTGTGAGTACACCCTACGATGGCATCTCACCTTAAGCTGCCTAGTTAAGCTTCAGCCACCTGCAACAGTGAACTGGAATAAGCAGGCCGAAAAACAATGATTAATTTTTCTTAAATGTATGTACAGCTCACATACCAATGTTTAATATAGAAAGCATTTTAGATCTTTACTTAGAGTTTGGTAATGTTTTTGCTGTAGGAATTTAACTCTTGTTTATATCAATTAGCCTATAATAAAGGTGGTTTCATTTTAGGTCATTATGCTTAAAGTCAGTTTCCAAAAACCTATTAACAATGTTGTTAAAGACTTACTGTATTATATGATCTCCTAACCCAAGTGAATTTTAAGTTCTTAGATGTCTATTTGGGATTTTATGATCATTGATATCATTATTCGGTACAGTCATTCAAATGCTTAAAGGTTTACATTAACCTGTGCTCTTGCACAAGAGGGCCTTCTTTTAAGTTAATGAATTTATTGTCTACATTCAAACCTGAATAATAGAAGATTAAATGCTAAATTATTTTATTTTTATTACATTAATAACTTTATCATTCTTTTATTATACTCTTCCTAAGATACTTATTTAGGGATATCTATTTTAGCCAGTCAGTATGATCAAACTGTTTACATTTAGTGATTGGGAAATATGCTTGATCTAAATTATATTAACCTTTATGTTAAACTACCTATTTAAATGAATTCACAACAAAAACTTTCAGTGAAAACACTTAAGATGATTTTACTTTTTTGCTTGAGGAATTATACTGAAACTATGACTTCTGAAATTCCTGGAATTGTTTATTAATTTAGACAAAGGCCAATAAGCACATGAAAAACTGGTTGGCATTATCAGTGATCAGAGAAACTCTTTAGGGACTAAACTGCATCCCCCCCCCCAAAAAAATTGTATTTTGAGGCCTTACTGCCCAATGTAACTGTATTTAGAGATAAGTCCTTTAAGGAGGTAATTAAGATTAAATGAAGTCATAAAGGTGAAGCCCTAATTCTACAGAACTAGTGTCCTTATAAAAATAGGAAGAGACATCATAGCTCTTTCTCTCTCCATGGGAGCACAAAAGAAAGGCCATGTGAGAAGGTACTCATATATAAGCCAGGAAGAGAGGCGTCACCAGAAAGCAACCCTGCTGGCACCCTGATCTTGAACTTTCAGCCTCCAGAACTGTGAGAATTACCCTGACCAGGTGGCTCGGTTGGTTGGAGTATTGTCCCATGCACCAAAAAGTTGCAGGTTCGATCCCTGGTCCAGGCACACACCTAGGTTACAGGTTTGATCACCAGTTGGGGCACATGCAGGAAGGCAACCAATGGATGTTTCTCTCTCACATCAATGTTTCTCTCTCTCTCATTCCCCCTTCCTCTTGTTCTAATATGAATAAACATATCCTCAGGTAAAGATTAAAAAAAAAGAACAGTAAGAAATAAATTTCTATTACTTAAGCCACCTAGCCTATGGTATTTTGTTATGCCAGCCTAGCTGACTAATACAAAATGTATATCAAAGCCTCAATGATTAAACACTTCACTTTCACTAGGATGGCTGCAATCAAAAAGTCAGATATTAAGTGAAGATGGTGAAGATGTGGAGGAACCAAGAGTCCTCAAGTGTTACCATTAGGAATGTAATACGGTACAACCACTTTGGAAAACAGTCTGGCAATTCTCACAGATCTACCATAAAACCCAGCAATTCCACTCCTATCTATAAACTCAAGAGAAATAAAAGCATATATCCCTACGAAAACTTGTAAATGGCTCTGACTTGTGAGGCTCTGTGGACTGAGTGCTAGCCTGCAAACCCAAAGGCCACCAGTTCAACTGCCAGTCAGGACACATGCCTGAGTTGCAGTCCAGGTCCCCAGGTGGGGACACATGAGAAGCAGCTGATCAATATTTCTCTCACACACCCATGTTTCTCTCCCTCTGTTTCTCCCTCCCTTCCCCTCTCCCTTCCCCTCTCCCTAAAAATAAAAAATAAAATCCTAAAAAAACCTTGTAAATGAGTGATTATATCAGCATTACTCAGTAACAGCCAAAAGGTAGAATCCCATATGTCCACAGAATGATGAATGAACAAACGTGGTATATCCAGACAATGAAATATTATTTTTTTCCATAAAAAGGATGAAATACTAATATATGCTACAATATTAACCTTGTAATCACAAAAAACACATAATGTGTGATTCCATTTATATGAAATGTTCAGTACGACCCAATCTATGGAGACAGAAAGGAAATTAATGGTTGCTGCGAATGGATGGGCCAGAAGATAGGGAGGTAATAATAGCTAAATGGTATGGGGTTTCTCTCTGAGTTGAAGAAAACTGACTGTGGTGTGTGTACACACACACACACACACACACACACACACACACACACAATAAGAGCCACTGAATTGTATACTTTAAATGGGTGAAGTATATGATATGTGAATTATATCTCAATAAAGCTGTTTAAAAGGAAAAACAACTTTCAAAGTACTTCCCTCTATGGGCTAAGTACCCCAGGAGCTTCCTTCTGTATGAGCTCACTCACCTGGGTTTCTCTTGTTTAGGAATTCTTCCTCTAAGGACCAGGGATCTTCACCTTGCTCCAACTTGAAGATCACCTGGGGTTTGGTAATGTAATACCCTGTGGACATAACAATTGAGGGTACATACAGACCAGATTCATGGGCTTTTTAGTTTCTGAAGGTAGAGAAAGATACAACAGCAAGAGCAAAAAGTACCCATTTGCAGTTTTTAATGAGAAAGTAATGACACAAACATTGTTTCTACTTCTCTAAAGGTTTCAATTATATAGGACTCTTAAAAGCCTACACATTAATCTCTATAAAGGGTCTAGGTGTTCTGATTATTTTTTTCAAAAGGAACTGTATTCCAGAGGGAGCCACAGGATAAGGTCTCACAGGATAAGATCTGCTCACCCACGGAGATGAGGTGACTATAGTTCTCCAGCATCACTTCTCTGTACAGGGTCCTCTGGGCAGAGTCCATCTGTTGCCACTCCTCCTGGGTGACCTCCACAGTTACGTCTTCGAATGAGACTGGTCCCTGTAATAACATATTTTGTTCAAAAGTTCAGAATTATGTGACAAATAAAATATCTTTGAGAACAATTCTTTTTCTATATACTCTTAAGGCTTTAAAACAGATATAAAGGATGTCATATTTTGACCTAATTTATCTTTAAGTTTGGAGTTATTCAATTAGTTAAAAGGGTTTTTAATGTGCCATAATTCATTTATATTTATGAATTATAGTTTTTTAAGACAAAAGAATTCAGTGTAAAGAGACTTCCTACAAATCTTCTTCTATATCCCAAGGAATTATATTGATTATTCTAGAATTCTAGGATGTTCAATCTCTCCTTGGACATTATTACCATAAATAATGGTAGCAAGGAAGAATACATGTAAGCTGTGAACTTACATATAAATGAATGTATAAGATATATAAATCTGGAACTTGTGCAAAGAACAACTTAGCAAAGACTTAGAATCAGAGAGACCAGTATAAGAGAATACTATCTACACTAAAGTAACAACAATGGCTACAATGATAAGGGTATAATCACAGAGCAGAAGCAGCAACCAGTTTGATAACTACTTCATTATATAGCTATCCAGTCTAGCAATATTGGGCTATTTCTCAAATGCTGGTGCCAAATACTGATATTTGGGACAAAAAGGGAAAAAAGTATATTAAAATTTCTAGTGTGACAGATCTGTTCATATTACTACTGAAAGATCTATGGAATGTAAAGTTGGAACAGTCCCTTAAACTAATAAACACATAGTTTTAAAACACAAAAGGGTGCTCTAGGATGAAGACAAGCACTAAGGAATTACTAACAATTCAGGTGGTTAACTGAAGTTTCAGAGGCAGTCAGACAACAATTTGAGCATGCAGAAATTGAGCAAAGTACTAAAAACAGCATTTGAGGAATCATTGATACTAAAGAGGATGGCAATAAAGGTACAGGCCACAAAGCCTGGGAACTTTTTTTAAAAAAAAAGAATAGAACTGTGAAGAGCAGAGTCTTGGAAAATGAAAAAAAGGGCAATTTTCCACAACAAAAGACCTTGAAGGGACTGGGAAGAAGTGGACAGTTGCTATTCAAGGAGCATAAAGTTTCACTTGTGAGAAATATTAAGCTCTAGAGATCTGTTGTACAATGTTGTGCCTCTAGTTAAGAATATTTAATGTACACACAAAAACTGTGGTTAACAGAGTAGATCTCATGTTAAGTGTTCTTATCACAACTAAAAAATAGAATATGAAGTAGATTAACAGGTAAGAGGACAGAAACAAGTTTATTCCCCCTATTTTGTATCCAATTATATGCTCATTCATGTCTTCAGCATTACTGAGTAAATACCACCTCTGTGTGAAGCTCAGTACTGGTACCTGGGAACTAAAACAAATAAATGAAAGACCAGGAACACCTCTCATTAAATTTATTTTAATCTAAGAATTATAAATAAAATTTAACTATATTTTCCAAAACTAAAATGTTACTGAGAAAAGTGGCTTTTCTTTCATTTTTTGGCCAATTTCTTTAATATCTGGTTTAATAAAACCAGCAGGATTTTTAAAAAAAATTAAGCTAATAAGTGATGTAGGTGAAATGTTGAAACACAGATCCCAGAAAATTCTCTCCTCCACAAAAGCAAAAAAAAAAAGAAAAACTGGCAAAAAATTATACAAGTTAACAAATGTCACCTGTGGAAATATACACGAAAAACAGCTATGTTGTGTCAGTATAATTTACCCTGTTCCTATCCCTCTCTCTCCAGCTCTGTGGTGGTTTGACAACCAACAATCTGCAACCAGCAGCCTGGCAACTACAACAGGGTTGGAGTTCCATCAAAACCTCATTCCCATACCATGGCCAGTGTGGCTCACTTGGTTGGTGCATTGTGCTGTAAAATGAAATGTCACAGGTTCGATATCTGGTCAGGGCACATGCCTGGGTTGTGTATTCAGTCCCCAGTCAGGGGAGACTCTCCACATAGGAGAGGCAACCAATAAATGTTTCTCTCTAACACTGATGTTTTTCTCCCTCTCTTCCCATCTCTCTAAAATTGATAAGCATGTCCTCAGGTTAGGATTAAAAAAAAAAACACCTCATTCCCAGAAAACTGTCATCATTTGGCCCATTTGGAGGTTCTCTGAAAGACCCCATTTACAAGGATGTCTTTATTTGAGCTATGGTTCACTTGGAGATTATATAGTGTGGATAGCCTATACTCAGAGGCATTTGTCAAAACACTTAAAAGCATTGGTTCAACTTGGTGGCTACCTGAGGTGCTGGATGATAGCTGGGGCAAACAATGGTCAATAAAGAAGCTTAAAAGGAAATGCTGGGGAATGAAATGTCAAAGATTCTGAAAAGCTTCAATATATTCCTGAGAATCTAGAAGCCACATACATGCATAGGTACTCGGAATATATATTAATGCAGAGTAATTTTAAGGATATTCAGTTGATTCATCAGCAAAATGTCTTAACTCAACCTCTGTGTTTGAGTTTCTGAAAAACTGAGTATGCACTGAATTTACATATAGAATTAAGTTCTACTTTTATTAAAGAATGGGTAGAGGTGACACTCTATATTACTTTAGGGTTATTACTGGAAAATTGTTAACTAAATCACCTGCTTGGAAACAACAAAGGTTATTTTTTATCTTCAATTGTCTTTAAATTCTCTAATGAACTAGTTTGCTTTATCTTCTCACCAATGTCAGCCTTTAAAGAAGCATTGCCTGACACTGTGAAATAGATATTGGAAACCTCAGCAATAAATTTGGTAAATTTGTAATACCAGAAAATCTGCATATATCCACATGTCAACTCTGCTATTCATTTGTATTTCTGTATATTCTCTGAGTGTATCTGATCCACTTCTATTTCTATTTTTCCATGTTAACAGAGACACACTTAAGCCCTTATAAAATCCATTTTATAAAATCCATTGTAAAATAAACAGTTTATTAAAAACTAAACTCACCTGAGCTATGTTCATTTTCTGCTACTCCTGCAAAAAAAAAAAAATGTGAAGGTCCAGCTGGGTTGGAGGGGGGAGAAATTGGGTCATGAGAAACCTGGTCTGCCTTACACATCCTATATTCATCTGCCTAAAAACTTCAAAACACCAGGTGGAGAAAAGGCTTCCCTATGGAAGAATGGCCCTTTGACATTTTTGAGAAGGGACAGGAAGAACCCACACAGAGGTAGCACCACCTGAACATGTGCATCTTTTATATGATCATGTGGGTTTAACCCTGCAATTTCACTAAGGTAAATGGCTTTCTGTCAATGAATTAACGATTTATGCTCCCTTCTGACAAATTAAAACAAAATAAATTTTTAATAAGTAAATAAAACAGAGGATTTGTTAAATAAATTCAGGTACACCAGAGGTGAAACCCTCTACCTTCATTAATGTCAAAAAACTACTCGGGCTGAATCAAGTTGTTGTATTATAACTTGAGTTAGTTTCCACAGAAAACTCTGCAATAAAGATGGAACACTTTATGTAAGAAATATATTTGTTTGAATTTTTGTTCTTAATTGGCTTCAGTTTCTAAAAAAAAGATCTTTTGATAAGATCTTTTATATAAACATCAAAGATCTTTTGATGTTTTTCTCCCTCTCTTCCCATCTCTCCAAAGATCTTTTGATGTTTATAGAACTTATCTGTGTGAGTAAACAGTACTGCACTGCTGCTGTTTGGTTCTATCCTGGGTGACTACAAAAATCATTCATTTTGGGCCCAACATTTTTAGGCTTCCAAAGATGTCCAGTGTAGAAAACCCTTCTACTACCATTTTGGTAACCCTATGTTCAGGAAAGAGAGGGCATTGGCATAATTCTAGATGCCACATGTGGTGATGAACAAGGTGTTAGAGCAGCTCAGAATCTGGAGAGCAGAATAAAAAAACCAACACATTGTTTAGGATTTTTGTCAGCTCTGGCTGGTTACATCTTCCCTGGACATCTGTACTCACCAGCCATCCACTGAATTGCCTTTTCCTGTGCAGCCTGACAATAACCCACCCCTCTCAGCTTCAAGTTCCCTTCTGCAGGTTTCTACTGTCACACAATCTGTGATGGCTTCTGAATGTGGCAACATCACCAAGTCTGACTCATGCCATACAGGGATCAAGAACTTCTTTTAGCGGAGCAAATCAGAATCTGTTCCTTTCTAGAAACTTCTGCCTCTGCACTGAAGCTCTGATGAGGGGTCTGTCAGAAAGGTGGTTCTTCCAGTGGCAATTATTCCTGGGGCTCCCTCTTTCCAGACTTCAAAGAGTTACCTCCAGAGGGACTGGGACCTGAGCCTGAGAAACAAGGTCATTTTGTTTGAAACCTTCATCTAACATTCTAAACCTGACCCTTTTGCATGCAACTACTGCACCTGAAGTGTGGCTGCTGTATTAAATTAAATGCATCATGAATATTAACTTTACCTCCAAAGGCCTGTACTCAGAAAACTACACAACACTGAAGAAACAAATCAAGGAAGACACAAATGGAAACATATACCTTGTTCATGGATCAGAAGAATTAACATTATCAAAATATCCATACTACCCAAAGTGATTCATAGATTCAATGCAATTCCTATTAAAGTACCAATGGCATATTTCACAGATATAGAACAAACACTTCTAAAATCTATATGGAACCATAAACGGCCCCAAATAGCTGCTGCAATTTTGAGAAAGAAGAGCAAAGAAGGAAGGATCACAATACCTGATACCAAACTGTATTACAAGGCCACTGTAATCAAAACAGCCTGGTACTGGCATAAAAACAGGCACATGGACCAATGGAACAGAACAGAAAGCCCAGAAATAAACCCAAGTCTCTATCATCAATTAATATTTGACAAAGAAAGCAGCAACATAAAATGGAGTAAAAGCAGCCTCTTCAACAAATGGTGTTGGGAGAGCTGGACAGCTACATGCAAAAAAATGAAACTCAAGCACCAACTTACAGCATACACAAAAATAAATTCAAGGTGGATAAAAGACTTAAATACAAATTGTGATACCATTAAAGTCCTAGAGGGGAACATAGGCAGGAAAATCTCAGATATTCCATACAACAATATTTTCACTGATATGTCCCCTAGAGCAAGGGACATAAAGGAAAGAATAAACAAATGGGATCTCATCAAAATAAAAAGCTTCTGCACAGCTAAAGAAAACATTGTTAAAATAAAAAGAGAACTAACAATATGGGAAAACATATTTCCCAATGATACCTCAGACAAGGGTTTAATCTCCAAAATATATGGAAAAAAAAACTCACACAACTCCACTCTAAGAAGACAAGCAACCCAATTAAAAAATGGGCAAAGGACTTGATCAGACACTTGTCCAAGGAGGACATACAGAGGATCCAGAGACACATGAAAAGATGCTCAGCATCGCTAGCTATCAGAGAGATGCAAATTAAAACCATAATGAGATACCACTTCACACTGGTCAGCCTGCCTATCATAAACAAAGCAACAAACAAATGTTGGAGAGGTTGTGGAGAAAAGAGAACACTAGTGCACTGTTGGTGGGATTGCAGACTGGTACAACCACTATGGAAAACAGTATGGAATTTCCTCAGAAAACTCAAAATGGATCTGCCTTTTGACCAGGCAATTCCACTGCTAGGATTATATCCTAAGAACCCTGAAACACCAATCCAAACGAACCTATGCACCCAATGTTCATAGCAGCACAATTTACAATAGCCAAGTGCTGGAAGCAACCTAGGTGCCCATAAGTAAATAAATGGATCAAAAAACTATGGTACATTTACACAATGGAATTCTATCCAGCAGAAAGAAAGAAGAGTCTCCTACCCTTTGCAACAGCATGGATGGAACTGGAAAAACATTATGCTAAGCAAAATAAGCCAGGTGGTGAAAGACAAATACCATATGATCTCACCTTTAACAGGAACCTAATCAACAAAATAAACAAACAAGCAAAATATAAACAAAGACACTGAAATTGAGAATAGGCCGACAGTGATGGGGGGGCAGGGTGAATTTCAGGGAAAAAGGGAAAGGGTTTACAGGTACAAGTATAAAGGACACATGGACAAAAACAAGGGCAGGGGGGTGGAAACAAGAGGGAGGTGGGGAGGGCTGGGGGTGTGGGCTGGGATGGGGGTAAAAGGCAGAAAACTGTACTTGAACAACAATTTAAAAAATTAATTAATAAATAATTAATTAACTTTACCTCCTTTTCTTTTCACTGTTACTACTGAAATTTTTTAAAATTTTATTGTTATATTCTATTTGCATTATCTTTCTATCCGCCAGCACTGCATTAGATTGTCAGACTAGGCCTTTGAGCATGGAGACAGCCTGGATAGTGCAGGAAGGCACAAGAGCCTCAGTCTGACCAACGGGTTCTGGAGAAAACCTGCAAGTCCCAGATATACTTGCCAAATGGTGTGATTCTGTCCTCATTCACTTTACTATCATAACGCAGAGAATTTGGGGACAGCCCACTTTGCTAAGTGCTCCAAAGGCTGCAACCCTGGATTTGGGGCAGGGAGAATTGTTAGGAAGAGTGAGAGATAGGGAGTAAAATCTGTATTTGAGTCCTACCCCTCTCATCGAAGACCAGCTTGTGAGCTGGGATGTATCAGTCCGCCCCCATGAAAGTCCTTTTTCACGTTTTAAAATAGCCTGTTTATACCGACAAGTAGGCTTGTTGGTTAAATGAAATAAACAAAGGGAACAAAGTGTCTTTTGATAGTAGCTTACACAGTGATTAACACAAACATTTGACAAAATCTTTTGCCGATGACATCTTATTTAATCCTGAGAATAACTGCACGTACTATCAGTAGCCTCATGTTCACCGTCAGCATCGCGAAGGTGCATTCCCCTCTAGCCGCCTGCAGTCCCCACACCGGGCCTCAAAGAGAACGTTCTCCTAAAGAGGACTCAGCCCTACATGAGCCGGGGGAGCGGACTCCGGGGAACTACTCACGCACCAGCAGTCCAGCGGCCGGGGGAGAGGACTGCCCGCTCCCGCTCCCCAGACACACGCCTACCTGACCTGCAAGGACCCCGTGCTCTCGCCCGGGTGCGCAGTCTCTGCTCCCACACAGACCCTGAGACTCGGACAGCAAGTCCTTCTCAGGCCCCAGAGGACCTACGGTCGGGCCAGATTAATGTGCACATGCGCAGAGCAACCCGTTCTGAGAGGCAGAGAGGTACGTCTACACATTCAAGACTACAGTTCCCATGAAACCTTGAGACCAAAGAATGTAATTTTTGAAGCGTTTCCCCTCCATTACCCAATTGGACCTGCCCCCTGGAAACTTCCGGAATTCAGAGTTTTGGGGTTAGAGTTATGTCTTGACAGGACATTGTGAAGCGTGGTTCTTTGATCTGATCCGGGTCAGAAAGAAAACAGGTGCAAGAGACAATTGGAGAAACACGAATATGAACTAGATACTAGAAGTGCTAAGAAAAATTACCCTTACCTTGATTAGTGTGATTATACGGAGTGGGCAAAAGCAGGTTAATAATAGCAAATACAATAATAAATAAGTAAAAATACAAGAATAAACTCTGTGTTTCCCATACTCACAACTATAAACCTATTTTTGCTCACCCTTGTATTTGGATGATTTAAGAAAGTGTTAGTTTTTTTAAGATACATGCTAATATAATATATTTACAATTATAAAGTAATGTATTTATAATTTACTTTTCAAAAATTAAGAAAAACAATTAGAGAAAGCAAATATGGCAAAAGGTTAAGAATCATTAAACTATATAGTATGTGTATATGATACTCATTTTACTATTTGTGCTATTCAAAGTGTTTGAATTTATTTTAATACACAGTAACAGAACTGGGGTGGGGTGGGATGGAGGCAGATTAGGGTGTTTACTGCCAAGAGATACTAATCAAGCTGCCAAGAGAAGTAAAGGTACACATAAGAATCTCTTTCACAGTTGTGAAATAGCTCAAAACCAGAAAATTGAGCCAGCATTAACATAAAAGAGTAACGTCTGTGACCAGCAGGATTGGGGTGAAGGAGGAGGCAATAATCTAGCTGTTCAAATACATGAAAATCATACAAAGTCTGCCCCGGCAAAGTCCTACCATTGTTAAAGGTTTGCACAGCATCGATGGAACCTGGTGGCCAAAGTAGTGGACTGGAATGTACGTGCCTGAACAATGACGATTTCACTGTACTAGTCACTGGGGGTGGTAGATGCCATTGAGTGAGCATGTGTACTGAGTGCCTACCGCATTCAAAATGAGCAAGCAGAGCAACAAATTTGCATCACATTTTGCATTAAGTTTAAGCATTCCTCTTCAGAAATTATTGGAATGATTCAGGAGGCTACAACTGTGAGCAACTGGTGATTGACCCCTTCATCACAACAGGCCCGCACATGGATCACGTCTCGTGCAGAGTTTTTTGGCAAAACATCAAATCGCCCAGGTGACTCAGACCCCCCCTACAGCCCAGATTTGGTGCCTTGCAACTTCTGGCTTTTCCCAAAACTAAAGTCACCTTTGAAGGGGAAGAGAATTCAGACCATGGATGAGATTCAGCAAAATAAGACAGGGCAGCTGATGCCAATTGGGAGAACTGTGTGAGGTCCCAAGGTGCCTACTTTGAAGAGGACTGAGGCTACATTATCTTAGGAGGCTTCATTTTATAAAACATTGTACAATATTGTATCTTATATCGTCTTCAATAAATGTCTCTGCTTTTCTTATTACATGGCTGGATACCTTCTGGACAAACCTCATACAACCCCAACTAAGAAAATGATTATTGTATCAATTTTTCATTTCCATAAGTAAACCTAAATTAAAACTTAATGTGTGCCTACTATGGACACAATAACATAATTTTTTATTTCCAGTAGATTTTTTAGAGCAGTTTTAGGTTTACAGAGTAATTCAGCAGGGAGCACAAAGAGTTTCCATATATCCCCTCTCATCATCCCCAAAACAGTTTCTCCTATCACTAACATCTTACATTAGTATGGTATATTTTTGTATAATTAATGAATTATTACTAACTAAATACAATAGTTTACATTAGCAATCACTTTTTGTGTTGTCCAGTTTTATGGGTTTTACAAAACGCATAATGTCATCTGCTGTAATATTTAGCATTACGTTATCATACAGAACAGTTTCACTGCCCTAAAATTTTCCTATGCTCTTAGTAGGCACTCATCTTACTGTCTCAATAATTTTACCCTTTCCAGAATGTCATAGAGTTAGAATAATATAGTAAGTTACGTTTTTAGACTGGCTGCTTTCACTTGAATATGCATTTAAATTTTTTCCATGTATTTTCTTGGCTTGATAGCTCATTTTTTATTGATGAATAATATTCTGTTGTATGGATGTACACAGTTTGTTTATTCAGTCACCTATTAAAGGACATCTTGGTTGCTTCCAAGTGTTTGAAACTAAGAATAAAATGGCTATATTTCATGCAGGCTTTTTGTGTGAACATAAGTTTTCAAATCAGTAGAGTCAATACCAAAAAGTGCAATTGCTGGATCATATAGTGGAGATTAGGTTTCCCTTTATAAGAAACTCTGTCTTCCAAAAGTGGATGTAGTGTTTTACCGTCTCACCACAGGGAAATGGGGTTCTCTTGCTCCACATCCTCACCACATAAAGTGTTGCCACTGTTTTGGATTTTGGCCATTCTAAAAGGTGTGTACTGGTATCTCATAGTTTGCAGTTCTGTAGTAACATCTTATGCTGGGCTTCTTTTCATATGCCTATTTGCCATAAGTAGTTGTATACCTACTTTTGTGAGGTATCTTTCTGTTCAATTCTTTCACCCATTTGTATTGGGTTCTTCAATTTCTTATTGTTGAGTTTTAAGAATTTTTTCCATATTTTGGATGAAATTCCTTTACCAGAGATGTCATCTGCAAATAGTTTCTCTCAGTAGGTGATTGTCTTTTGGTTCTCTTCACATTCTTTGTTTCAGCATTTTTTAGCATTTTTATTGTTCTTCAAGTACAGTTGTCCCCATTTTTACCTCATTGTGCCCCCCCGCCCCACCCATCCCCACCTCCCACCCTCGAACCTACCCCCTTTGGTTTTGTCCATGTGTCCTTTATACATGTTCCTTGATGACCCCTCCCTCTATTATCCTTGATTAGCCCTCTCCCCCTCCTCTCTCTTGCACAGAGCAAAACTTTTTATTTTTACTAAAATCAAATTGATCAATTTGTTCATTCATGAATTACGCTTTTTTAATGTTATCTAAAAATTCAGTGACAAATTCAAGGGCACCTAGATTTTCTTCTATGTTATCTTCAAGAAGTTTTATACTTTTGCATTCTATTTCTAAGTTTATTGTGATACATTTTGAGTTAATATTTGTAAGATATGTAAGGTCTGTGTCTATGTTTATGTATTTGCTTTAATATTTTTAACTCAAGAAAATGCCTTAAACTATCATCAAATATTCCCACTTCTCAGCAGAATATAAATACAGTGACTATTTTGCAATTATTTCATGATTTTCCTTTGCTATATATTTCTATTTCTATTGGAATTGTAAGAAAATATCCAAAATAGCCACACACTCTTCACTTAACATGTCATATTATAATATTTTTGTATATCTGTTTATTCAAACATTTGGTAGTTTATAATTGAACACAGATGTAATCTTACTGCATATCAATTATATTCTCTTGAGATAATATATTCAAGGTGCTGAGCATTGTCCCTCTTACTAAATATTACAAATATAAACATACAAAAACTTATTTCCCCTTGCATTTCATCTTGCTACATAGCACAATAAAATAATTTTCTCAGAAATAATGATTGTACTTCTAGCCTGTCTCAGTAAATGCAGCAAAGTTATTTAAATTTTCTGAATTACATTTTCCATATTTGGTTAATGAAGAAACTGGTCTAGGCGATACTTAAAGACTGACAGTCTGTTATTCCAGTCAGTTTAATCTTGGCTTTTATATTTTTACAGCCAATATCCAGGAACAGCTATTATCCTAACCTCTTACTGAAATCCTGTTTTTATTTTCAGCAAGACTATTTACTTTGATTAGTAGCAAAAAGATGTCATCTGGGAAAGAGCTTAAGACATTCTGTGGAAGACCAGTGCAATAAACCTGCTTCAAACATTTATACATTTTCCTTTTTGGAAAAATCAATAAGAATTTTGCATCACTATACATCCCCTACCCAAAATCATACAAGCTATAGGCCTTATTTTCTCCTAAAATCTATAAAAACCTAAGCCAGAGCAATGTCCATAAGAAGGAGGAGAAAGTTTTTCCAAACAGAGGGAATTGTGTTTGACAATGACCAAATAGTAGGTGTAGGTCATATATGCCTTTCCTAGGACATTCTAACTTTCAAAATTATGTTATTTTTCTGTAAACAAGTGTTTCCTAATGGAAATGGCCACAAAACATAAATACATAGGTGCCACACATATTTGAAAATCTCATGTTTCCAAAAGGAGGAGAGAATAATTTAATTTTGAACTACTGTATATTTGAGCAATGAAAGTATACATCACAAACCACCCATTTAAGTGTAATGTGCTTATAGGAGTGTTTTCCTCTGCTTAATCCTGGAGTCTTTTTGCTTTTCTTTATTGTACATACATTTTGAACCAGGTTACTTATTTGTCTAAAAGAACAAATTTGAAACTCGTTGTGACCACATAATAATGTGTTATTTTTTTCTGTCACAATCTTGTAATTCTGTCAAACCTAACAATTTAACCTTGTTAAAGTAAATTGTAAGGTTTGTGTGTAAAAGTAAAGTATGTGTTTATCAATATAACTTGGCACTTTGTAAAAAATAAAATATTTATGTGAATAAAAATGAGTAAGTGGATAACTGAAATGGAATAAAGTAACATTTGCATGGATTGAATGAATGAATGAAAATGTAACTTCCTGAATAAGCAGGCACAGGAAAACTAGAAAAATAGAGT